AATAAAGTAAACCTCAGAAGGGTAAATGAGTGTTAGATTGAACCAATCGCGAAGGGGCGAGTGCACTCACAACTCGCTAACATGTTTGGACATTGTTCAAAAATGCAGCACTCGTACAAAACCGATTACTCCGATAGTTGCGTGAGCTATTTACACCTTTTGCATCGCCTTATTCTTCATTTTTCGCAGTGTGATTTCCAAATGCATCGTGCATGCTACACTATAAGTTTAAAATGAAATGATGTGATTGATCACAAATGTCGGAACACTGGACCTAACATTCCATTAACGAGGAGTTCGCACTGAGGTTGCACTGAACATCAAGGCGAGTATAAGAATTTTTTGTTACTTTTAGAGTTTTTACTAGTAATATCCTATATTATTTGGGACCGCTTTGCTTTGATATATTCAGCAATTGCTTTACATGAGATAAAGATGTTCATCGAGATTCCGAGATAGATGTCTTTCTAACGGAGAGTAGCTGTATATTCTAGATGTACCTGAGTTTGTTCAGCCTCCACAAATCACAGAAGGGACCAGACCTCGATCATTCGAATTGACCTGGAACGTTGCTGAAGAAAACAAAGCCTCGTTCGCGGACCCAATCATCTACGTCCTGCAAGTACGAACGTATTTCGGTCCCGAATTCGATCCAATGGCAGCAAGTGCCTGGAGGACTCTAACGATGGTGCGCTAGTACTCTATCCCTACTTTTTAAAGAAGTTATGATTTGACAGGATATTGTAGAAAAAAGTGTTTCAAATGATTGAACTTGAAGGTTTATTCTTTCACTTTTTTAAGACTGGTGAGCAGACTTTGATTTACTTGAAAATAGCTTCTGCTACTTTGTCATTAAAAGCTGATAAGTGTTTTCGTCTCTTAGACAACTGTTCCTGGAGCTCGGCTTAGCGAGCCAGATGTTGGTTGGTGGTATCAGTACCGAATCGCTGCCGTGAGTCGTTTTGGATCGAGGGGATTTGGCGACTCAACTACACCACCAGTTCGCCTAACTAGTCAACTCCCACAGGCGGCATCGGCACCGCGACAACTCGTGGATGGTGTATGGCGGTTTCAGGCGGACGGCGGAGTGCATGTCCGCATTGAGTGGAAAGCTCCGGCAACTGCTGTCATCCCTGTCACAGAGTATCGGGTGGGAACTGAACTAATTCAGCTTTTTTTATAAATTTCCATTTTAGACGTGCACAACAGATGCATGTTTAACTTGCAATAGAGTTGGGGCAAATTCTAAGGTGGGCTTTGAACTGAATTTTTGACAGA